CCCACTCGAGGCCCATCGTGACTCCCGCCACATCCCCGGTGGCCTATGTGGTCGTTCGCTTCATGTTTTCAGTTGGCTTGTTCCTTTAAACCAAAGGAAGTCATTTAAAAGGGGACTCGATACCACGTTTTTACCCGCAAAACCGACAGGCCGGAAGCACACGGACGCTTGCCCCGCGCTGCTGCGGCGAAGGCTCTGAGCCCAAGGCCATGCCTCCCAACAGGTGTCCCGGGCAGGTGTCCCGGAGCCCGGCACGAGGGCCCGAGTGTCCTGGACCCCGACTGCCCCTCGCTGCCTCCAGGGAGCCCTCAGCCCTGTCCTGGTCTGGGCTCTGCTGGCCCTGCTCACGCTGCCCCAAATGTCCCCACAGGTCAACGGCAAGGACCTGTCCCAGGCCACCCACGACCAGGCGGTGGACGCGTTCAGGACGGCCACGGAGCCCATCGTGGTACAGGTGCTGCGGAGGGCCCCACGGGCCACGGCGTTCCCGCCCGTGCCCGGGCCGCAGCTGGCGGACGCGGCCACGCAGACCGACATCACCTTCGAGCACATTGTGGCCCTCGCGAAGATGGCGGCCCCCCCCACGCCTGGGCTGGGGCCCTGCCTCCTGCCCGAGGGGTAAGCCGCACGCCGTGCACGCGGTGGCTGGGCGGGCGGGTGCTGGGTGCTGGGTGTTGTATGCTCTGGGTGCTGTGTGTTGGGTGCTATGTGCACTGGGTGCTGGGTGCTGGGTGTTGTATGCGCTGGGTGCTGTGTGTTGGGTGCTGTGTGTACTGGGTGCTGGGTGCTATGTGTGTTGGGTGCTGTGTTGTTTTGACCTCTGGTTCTGGCTGCAAGGTCAGAGGTCAGCAGGAGTGCACATCAGATTGGGGGTGTCACCATGACACCTGCCAGCGGGGCCCTCAGCACCAGGTGTCCCTTCATGCGGGCAGTGCAGTCACTTGCTGGGTCTGGGGACTTGAAATCTGGCCATGTGACCGTCACTCACATCTGGTCATAGCTGAGAACCAGGGCGGGAAGGCCCAAGCCTGTTGACACTGTGCTGATGTCAGGGACGGGGGTCAGGGTCCCAGCTGGGATGGGGGTCAGGGTTCCGGCGGACGGTCCGGGCTGGAGCCTCAGTCCCTGTCCCCCTCAGGCCTTGTCCGAGCCGCTGACGCATGCGTCATGCTTCCCGCTGCCTTCGCTCCCGGCTGTCCACTCAGCGTCCAGACAGGCGGCTGGTTCTGGGGACGGTCACATGTTGCCCCAGAGAAACCCCAGCCCATTCTCCTGGCAGTGTGAGTGTGTGTGCGTGTGTTGCTTACACACACATCAGCACACGTACACACGGCACACACACAGGTACCAGGTGTGAGCACAGTCCAGGGATGTAGAGAGACTGTCCGAGGGGACGCACCGGGGTCTCGGTCACAGCCTCAGGATGGACCTCAGGGGCCGGCACGTGTCTCTGTGTGTCGCCTGCAGCTGAAGCTTTGTTCCCCCCCAGAGGTAGAAGGTAACCATGAAGCAGCAGGTGGCCAAGGTGAGCCTGTCTCGTGCCTGGAGACAGAGTTAGTCGTCTTGAGTCCTGTGCGTCCAGCGGGCTGGGTGCTGGAAGCCACCGTGCCCGCCATCCCACCCACCCGTCTTCCGGAGGAGATGGCCTTGAGCACGCGTGGTGTGAACTCAGGGTGGAGGCCTGGGGGGCAGGCGCCTCACAGTCTCTCGCCCTCGCCCTCCCAGGCACCCCTCGGCACACATGTACTACGATCCCAGCTACGTCGGAGGCGGCCCCCAGGCCCTGGACAGGGAGGAGCTGGAGCTGGAGGTACGAGGGGACCCCCAGGGTCCTGAGACCCACGGGCGGGAGCTGCTACTGTCGCCCGGCGCCTCGTGACAAGCGGGCCTGGACACTCACGTGGCATGATCACCCCGTGTGCTTTGGGGGAGGGCGTGTCTTCCTCTGCGTGTGTTTCGGGCACACCCCACCACGCTCCCGCGTCCTCCTGTGTGACGCCTGAGCCGTGAGTTGTGGTTTTGTAAGTTGCGGGCACTGACTGTTCTGATTCAGCTCTGATGCTGAGCAGCACTGAGACTGTCCCTGACTCAGGACCAGCCTGCCCCTCCCACCATCTGTCCCCAGAGTGGGGACGGTGCAGGGGCCCCCAGTGGCCAGGCTGGTGACTGCCCTAGGAAACGCTGGGGGGGAGGGGCAGGGGACAGGTGTGACTGTCCCCTTGAAATCCGGGCCTGCTCCGGGGGGCTCGGTTCCCAGCACGGGTCTGCCTCCTCGGCCTGACCAGGCCACTCCCAAAGGCCAGGCCGAAACGAAGCAGCACTGGCGGTGTGGCCACCGTCCCCTGGGCGGGGCTGCCGTGAGCTCCCGGAGGTCTCGCCCTGGGGTTCCTCCAGGGCCGCCAGGGCTCGGGTCACAGAAATACCGTGGTGACGTCTGAGCGCCGTGTCCCATTGTCCAGACGCCTGGCGGAGTTTGCAGCCTGCTCCGGCCGACCCGGGGCTCTGAGCTGGGCGGTCCCGCACTGGGTTTTCTAGCTGAGAGGGGCCCGCGGTGGCCTTCAGGGACAGGGGTGCCTTTGGGGCAGGTGATGGGCTGATTTGCATTTCTGGAGCCACATGGTACATTTAAAGGGTCAGGAACTCAGCAAGCTGGTGAGCAGAGGTGAAAATGTAGGTCATGGCAGCAAAGGCCCAGAAGGACTGGCCTTCCGAACCCTGGGCGCCCAGTCCTCCCTTTTCATTTGCGGAAAGAAGGAGGTCAGCCCAGTGCCACGCGTCCAGCAGCGGCCGGTCATTCCTGGCCCGCGTGACCTCACTGCGTGGACCGTGTGGCGTGGAGGCAGGCGGGCTGTCCAGACGAAGCTGTAGCCGGCAGCGGCGTTTTCGGTTCTGTCACGCGTGCCGTCACACACACGCTGCTCCTCGGTCGCCTGCCACAAGCTTTGCGGTCACCTCGCCTGGCTGCTCGCGGACTTGTCCCGGAAGCAGCTGGCCGCGACCACGTCAGCCCGGACACTGAGCGTTTGGGCCGCAGTTGTGCACTTGGAGCCAAATAAAGGACCACGAAACTCCGCCAACTGGGGAAGCACAGAAACAGACGGTTCTCGCGCCCGAAGGACGTGCAGCCAGGGGAGACTCGGCTTGCGCGCGAAGGACGACCTGTGGCCCGTGACGCGCAAATTCGGTGGCTCCAGCGTGTTCGGAAAGAACTTGCCCTTGTGGTTAAGTACGAGCCGCAAACTAGTGCTCATTGTGCCTTGTCTGCTGCTCAAAGTGTGAGCAGAGCGATTTCCATCCAACTCCACTAAGTTCTCAGAAATTCATGGGATTCAGTTCATGAAAATTCGCCATCCTGCTAAGGCTATAATTAGGCAGTCGTTGACTTAATGAAGATTTCCAGGTGCAGAAAATGAAGCTGTCCTCCTGAGGGAGTGTGTGAAATGTGCTCCCTCTGCTGGAGCAACTTCTGTGACCTCGGACGAGTGGCCCTGCCCGTGCGTCCTTTCCGCCGAGGCCTCTGGTCACGATGCCAAGAGCTGTGATGCCTCATCACAGGGCACAGAGGGGTGAGGGAGCTAGGACAGGGTGAGACGCTCATGAGGAAGCTGCTGGAAGGAGACAGAGCCGGATCCAAGGTCTTCAAGGCCCCCCATCCCTCGCTTTCCGCTCCGTGCAGCGGCCAGAGAGATGGGTGACGGCGGCGATTGGGTCGTCCTGACATAAAACGTTTATCTGATTTCCCACAGTGCTGAAGTAAAATTTGAGTAGTCAGGCTGCCTTTGGGCCCCACCTGCTCTGGCCCCACTGCTTGGCCACGCTCAGCCCCTCCCCCCGCTCCGCACCCAGCCCCGCCCCCCCACGCT